GCAGCCTAGGGGTCGAAAACTCCTAAGGGCATCCACACATAGTGACAGGGGAAAACACATGTCATCAGGCTCAATGAGGGTAGGGAACTGGGAGCGAACAGAACCAATGACCCTAACAGATAGACCATCAGGGCGGGTAATGCTCGACTAAGGGGTGACCGCTATGGAGGGTCGACCATGCAAGGGAACAAGGGAGCCTGGTATACTGGGCGCACCTAGATGAAGCATGCGGGGCTGCCTAACTAGGGCGTGAGGGCCGRCGAAGGGTAGAAAGATGATGGGTAAGGGAATCATGCAAATGACTCCTAAAGTGAGGGAAGTCGGAGCTAGATCCGTAAGATGGGAAGCCAGGGCAACGCTACGACCCCGATGCCTATGCGTATACCAAGGGAGAGCCCAACTCAGAGGAACCCGGCTAAAGGGAGACCATCATGCGACACAAGCAGGGTACTGTACAGGGTAGAGTGGTAAGAAAGTGGCGACGTCTGAAGTAGGCAGAGTTGATCGTGATGAAGTCCATGAAGCCGCTGATGACGTCCACGATGAGAAATCCGGAATGCCGTCGAGGAAGAGCCGCAGCGTCGACGAGCTGAAGTAACAAAACTGATGTGGATGGAGTACTGAGAAGTCAAAGACATGGGAAGGTAAGTTAGAGTCAATTGTCGTATCGAGCAGGACGACGACGAGTGCGCTGTGGATGCTTAGAAGCATCCGACTGCTGCTGAAGGTCTGCCTCAGATGGAGCAGGCTCAACTTCAGCGGTCTCCTCAGCCGGAGGAGAAGGAGGAGGGTCAGTGGGCTGAGGAGGAGCAGTGAACCCAGCACGACGAGCACGGTCATAGGCACGCACCAACATGCGAGCGTGCTGCAAGTGCTCGAGGGGCTCTCAGGTAGCCTCCTCATCAGGGTAACCCTTCCAACGTACGAGATACTCGACGTGGGGAGGGTTGTCGTCAGTGACTCGACGACCAATGATGTCTGAAACAAGGAACTCCTCGTGGCCGTCCACCATGATGGGTGGAGGGCGCTCGTATGGTTGTCCAGCGAAACGCTCAGACGGTCTGCGGTAAGGACGCAGTAACGAGACGTGGTAAACATCATGCACACGAGTCTGGCGTAGGTAGTCGGGCAGCTTCACACGAAAGCTGACCGGGCTAGATGTCGTATCAAAACCGACGGCCTGGAGGATGCGGCATGGGCCAAAGAAGCGACGCCGAAACTTGCGAAGCGTGTCCGCTTCGAGCTGTAAGTGGCGGGCGTCTATAAGCACATCATCACCGACCTTGAATGGGTGATCCATCCTCGATCGGTTCGCACGTGCTGCCATGCGAGTCTGGGAAGCGGCTATGTGCTCATGTGCGGTCTTCATAATCGACGTCATGTGTGCAACCCAATCATCCAGCGCGGGACAACTTGTGTCGGGGTGCATCTGGGACGGTCGAAGGAAGTCCGCGGGAACACGCGGGTGATAGCCGAGGTCGCAATGGTAAGGCGACATCCCCGTGGCTGGCGAGACGGCGTGGTTGTAGGCTATCTCCGCGTGGGCAAGATGGAGATCCCAATGCTGGTCGTCACGAACAATCTTTCGGAGAATATCCCCGAGAGTCCTGTTCGTGATCTCGGTCTGACCATCAGTCTGAGGATGGTAAGACGAGGAGAAGCGGAGCTGAGTGCCGTACACCTCGTGGAGCCGTCGCCAGAATCGGCTGGTAAAGCGCGGGTCACGATCAGATATGATGCTCAGAACTATGTCGGCGACCTCACGTGCACTGATGGCATAGCGGCACGGAACAAAGCGTGCACGCTTCGTGAAACGGTCGACGACGACCATGATAGCATCATGACCGTGGGGAGTCAATGTCGAAGAGGACCGATAAAGTCCATCGAGATGGACTGCCAACGACCCTCAGGGATAGGAAGAGAGCAAACCATAAGGTCGGTGGTTCGCACTGTTCACCTCCTGACAGGTGGGACACTCTGCGACGTAGTCCTTCACAAAGTCCTTGCACTTCGGCCAGACGTACAGGCGGCTCACACGAGCCAACGTCTTGTGGAAGCCCATATGACCGGCAGCTGCCTGGTCATGGAACTCTTCTACTGCTCGGACACGTAGCTGTCCAGTGGAGGGAACACAAATACGGGGCTCTCTGGTGCCCTGTGAGCCGTGCTAGTACACAAGACCGTTGTCCCCGAGAGAGTAGTTCGGGACGGTCTTGCCACTCCGAAGGGTCACGTGGATATCGCGATAGTCGGGGCAGTGGTGGTACTGAGTGCGAAACTCGTCGATCACCGAGTGGTGGACGGTGCTGACCGAGATGGAAAAGAGCTGGATGTGCTCCTGGTCGTGGTCAGGGCGCCGGGACAGGGCATCGGCGACCTGATTAGTCTCACCCTTGATGTGCTCAGTGGTGAAACTAAACTTGGATACGTCGCGCCACCAGTGAGCCTGTCGAGGAGTGAGCTTCGACTTTGTCAGAAAAGCCTGGACAACAGAGTTGTCCGTGCGCACCGTGAATGGTGCCCCGTGCAGGTAGTGACGCCAGTGTCGAGCGGCATAAACTACTGCGAGAACCTCACGTTCATCAGCAGTGTAGTTTATCTGGGCGGGCAGGAGCTGACGGGAGTAGAAGGCTATCGGACAATCACCTGAGCGAGACTCGACAATGCCGTCCTCGACGATGGTAGGAGAATAGTCAATAGAAGGCTCGTCAGTAGCTGGACGAGTAGGGAAGCAGTGGTAGGGGTAGGTGGTGGGAAGCGAGGGATACGAGGATGAGAGGAATCAGGAGATGAGGGGAAGACCTGAGAAAGCATTGCTCCTACGACGAAGTCTGACGCATCGGTGGTAAGGATAAAAGGGCGGTCAAAATCGGGTAGGTGAAGAACCGGTGCGCATGTCACCGCCTTCTTGAGGGCGCGGAAGGCGTCCTCGTGGAGGGGTGTCCAAGCCCAGGGTGGGTTCTTCCGGAGGAGGGTGGAGGTAAGGACGTAGGAATASCTAGCGTATCCCCGGATGAAGTTACTATAGTAGCTTGTCAGGCCTAGGAAGCTGCGAAGCTGCTCGGCGGATGTGGGAGCAGGCCACTCCGCAATAGCAGTGATCTTTGCGTCGTCCATGTGGAGACCCTGGTCAGACACGTAGTGTCCTAAGAAATCCACTTTGTGCTGGGCAAAGCGACACTTGCTTAGCTTGGCGTAGAAGCCATGTCTGCGCAAGCGGTCAAGGACGTCGCGGAGGTGTCTGAGGTGYTCCTCAAGGGTACGACTATAGACTAGGATATCGTCGAGGTAGACGAGAACGTACTGCTCCAGGATGTCCCTGAAGATGTCGTTCATCGCCCGCTGGAAGGTAGCGGGTGCGTTGGTGAGGCCGAATGGCATCACCGTGAACTCGTAACTGCCGAATTGCGATCGGAACGCGGTCTTCGGCTGGTCGGCTGCAGCGACGTGAATCTGATGGTAACCGCTACGAAGATCAATCTTCGTAAAGAAGCGGTTGCCTGCTAGGCGGTCGAACAGCTCATCGGAACGAGGCATGGGGTAGCTGTTCTTAACCGTGTAGCAGTTGAGGCAGCGGTAGTCGATGCAGAGACGAAGAGTTCCATCCGCTTTGCGAGCAAAGAGGACGGGTGCACCCCACGGGGAGTTGCTAGGTTTAATGAAACCCAGTCTCAGGAGCTCCTCAAGCTGACGCTTGAGTTCGGTGGCCTCGGGGATCGAGAGTCTGTAGGGTGCCTGGTGGTGAACACGATAGTCAGGCACGAGATGAATGGAGTGCTCGACGTCACGCATCGGTGGGATGCCGGCGTATGAGAACGACGATGGAAAAACGTTGTGGTACTCTCGGATGAGGTCACGAACTGCGGGCTCCAAGTCATTCATATATCGTGCGAGTTCCTCAGCGTCAGCGTCAGCGCGCGACGGCGGGGTGGACTCGACGGACGGCGGAGGGATGGAAGTAGAGATAGGAGTCATGGAGATAGAGGGAGGATCTGGCTCCAGAGGGATGAGCTCGTCGTCGGGACAGAGTGGATCATAGTGTAAGAGATCCGTCACGTCCACCATAAAGAAGGTGACGTCGTCCTGTCGAATGAAGTGAGCGAACTGCCGAGGCGAGGTGACAGYGAKAGAGGGAGATGGTGTGGRCACTGARGGCTCCGGGGGAGGAGRATCGGGGCGTGGTGTCGCCGTGRTACCTATGAAAGGTACGCGATACGTCTGTCCACACTTCGTTTTGAGAACGAGAGTGTTGGTCGCCCAATCGGCCTCGGTGCTGCGGAACCGACGAGACCACGGAGTGCCGGGAATGAAGTCGTACCCCGTCTCCTTCACATCGAAATGTGCAGAGGAGCGGTGGTGACGAGACGCCGGGGAACGCTCAGTCGGCTCGAGAGTGAGGAAGAAGGGGAGGTCGGTGACTGTCTGATCGAAGAAGCGCTGGGTCTTGTCATCCCCTAGAGTAACGGAGATGGGAGTCGGAGACCCTGTCGTGGGTAAGCGGGCTTCCTTCACCACGCGTGGGTGAATGAAGTCGCCCTAAGAACCGAAATCCCACAGCGCTGAGTACACCCTCGTGGAGGTCCCGAGTCGTACGGGGATGATCGGGAGAGTGCGATCAGGGTCAGAGAGGATGGCGAGAAGGCGCCGCAGTGCAGCGACATGGAGGGTGAGTCGCTCCTGACGAGCCTGAAGCATGCTCAAGTCCAGAAGAGAGGACACAACGTCCTCGCGAGTAGCAAGCTGCTCGCTGCAACGGGCTGAGCGAATGGCTCGACGCGTCGGTAGTCGCGGCGGGGGAGGAGGGGTGACGGTGGTCTGCGGAGGCGCAGACGGCACTGCGACAGAGGGCTGAGTACACTCTGTCGAGTCCTGCGATACCTCAACTCCAGTAGCGAGAGGGGCGAACCGCGACGGAGATGTCGGGAAGCCCACTACTGAGGAGGGCGCAGGTGTACACTGCACCGTGGCYAGGAGGCGCCGCGGGGACGTGAGGCGCCAGGGGGGGACTGAGCACGACGCTGACGAGAATGGTCAGCGTAGTGGCGGTCGAGGGCGGTAGTGTAAGGGCACCCCGAGGAGGTATGACCGTCCAAGCGGCAGCGCAAACACCCACGCCGACCGAGAACAGCCGCGCGCTCCTCAGGGGAAAGGACACCACGAGGAGGGACGAAGCCTTGAGGGAGGTCCTCCTGAGGGACCTCGGGGAGCGATGCGCCAGCGTGACCGGGGCGGCTGCGTGCCCGAGAGAGGGCAGAGAGCGCGAGCTGAAGGCGCTCAGCTGCAGGGAGGGTAGAGTCCTCCAAGTGATAGTGGACGGCCTCGCAGAGATCGAGATCGTCGTTGTGGTCGCCCTCAGATGACAGTGGGTCAACAGCGTCCTGCTCACCATACTCCAGCGCGTTGAAGCGGCGCGAGAAGTGGCGGCCCTGCTGCGTGGAACGGCGGGGGCGACCGCGGAAAGGGGAACGGCGCTGGGAAGTGCCGTGAGAGGAGGAGGAGGCGTAGCCTGTGCGATGGGGCTGGGAGGAGGAGGCGGGGTGAAGACGGGCTCGCATCCGCTGGTGGTCCCTGGCGGCCTCGTAAGCCTGTGCGGCCGATGTGAACTCGTACCGCCATAGCTCGGAGCGGTACTCGAGCGGAAGGCTGGCCAAGAAACGATCGATAAGGGCAGCCTCGGGGAGGAACGCCACGTCACAAACGAGGCGGGCGTCCTGAAAGACCTGGATGTGGCAATCCAGGCCGGCAGCGCCACCAGAGTCGGACCAGCGTGTAGTGACGACACGCTCGAAGGCGTCAGTCANGACCTGGATGTGGCGATCCAGGCCGGCAGCGCCACCAGAGTCGGACCAGCGTGTAGTGACGACACGCTCGAAGGCGTCAGTCACGTCGTATCGGGCTCCGAAGCGATCCTCGAGGAACGCCTGGAAATCCACGAAGGTCGGAGTCCGACCCTCACGAAGGGAGTAGGCATATAAATCCTCCCAGGCCTCGAAAGGACCGCCACGCAGGCGCGTGGAGAGGTGACCCACCCACGTCTCGGGTGTGGTGCCCATGAGCTGGAGTGTGCGGGTGGCAGACTGCAGTCACCGAGACACGCGTATGCCTGTACCGTCATACAAGGCAATGTCCGACAAGCTGATGAGTGGCGCGCCACCATTTTGGCGGCGAGGGGATCGAGGAGCGGAGGCCTGTGCCACGGCTGAGTAAGTCGGCGCAGGTCCTGGAGAAAGGGGCGCAGCTGACTGTGCGCCCGGGCCGCATGGGGGAGCAGCGGTGGCAACAGCGGCAGGCTGCGAGGGTGCTGCGGTAGAAGAGGTCACAGCAACCGCGGGAGTAGGAAGAAGGTAGGAAGGAGTTGTATAGGGTGCAGGGCGCGGAAAACGAGCCTGCATGGGAGGAAAGGTAGAGGAGGTAGGGGGTGCGCCCGAAGGCGCGGCCACCTGTGAGGGTAGGGGTGGCTGAAGGCGTAAGAGGGCGAGGTTGGCCCGGAGCTGGGCAATCTCGTCCTCGAGACCTCGAACGTAGGTCGTGCGAGGGGTAGCAGGGGGAAGAGTGGAGGAAGTGGATGCACAAGCGGCGCGGGGCATCCCAGAGGGGGGAGAGCCAGGTGACGCTGCGGTCGTGCGAAGGGGGGGAAGGAGCGGGGCACCCGGAAACGCTGAGCCCATGGTAACGGGTTGTGGTCCCGTGACCGTCATAACCGGAATCTGGGCAGGTGCGCCCGTAGACTGAGGAAGGGCCTGACTCGTGGTGGCCGTCGAGCTAGGGGCGTGGACGGTCACCAAAATGGCCGGGTCGGGGGCGGCAGAGGAGGAAACTCCGYCGTRGCCACCCTGTCGGAGAACTGGGGACCCGGACTGAGAGCCAGGAGAAGAGRGAGGAKGAGGAGAGGAAGGACGACCAGCGTCCTGGAGTTGCTGCACGCCGGCGGCAAGGGTCGCCACCTGCGCCTGTAAGGGCCCGAGGGTCGCGAGTTGCGTCTGGATGGGCGCGAGGAGGGAGATGAGGAGGGTGTGTAGATCCCCCTAGGGCTGATGGCCCTGGTCCGCCGGCACGGGGGTGGAGCCCGATGCCATGGTCATCGCCGTGTCGACGGCGTGTGACGCACCGTCGGCCATGGGGAGATGACGGACCGGACTGGAGGGGGCCAGAAGAGGTCCGCGTGAGCGGAGGGCGTAGGGGGAAGTCCGCGGTAGAAAGCGGCGAACGGCGCTAGCAAGGCTAGCACGGGCGCCGTCAAAGAGGGAGGGGTGGTTCGGGTCCAGGGTGCCCGAAGAGGACGGGGAAGTAGGGGGGGGTTGAGGAATCCTAGACCCTACAAAACCCCTAAGAAAACCCTAACCGAGGTTTAAGGCTAGGGTAGGGTACCGGTGACCTAATCAAGAAAGTAAAATAGCAAGCATAGGGGAGGGGGGGGAGACTGGAGAAAAATAAATAAACAGCGAGATTTCGAGAGGAAATAAAATAAATAAATAAATAAATAATAATAATAATAATTAAAACAATAAGTTAAAAAATGTGAAGAGAAACAATATTTATTTTTTTGAAATTTTTGGCAGCATTTCCCTACCCCCCACGGGGTCAAGAACGTGCCAAGGGAAAAGGAGAGACCCAGGTGTCCACACTAGAGATGCCGCAAATAAATAAATAATTTTTTTTTTTCAGAAAATAGATAATAAATAATAAATAAATAAATAAGTAAATAAGTGTGTGAGGAGGTAGGGAGAAATGGGTTATCTGATTTTTTCAAAAATTTTGGCAGCATTTCGTTACCCCCATGGGGTCGAAGTGTGTCGAAAAGACTAAGTGAGAAAAAATCAGAAAATTTCGGCAGCACTTCGTTACCCCCACGGGGTCAAATCGTGTGTCGAAAGCAAGAAAGGCTAACACCTAATCAGATTTAGGGTTGCCGACAAGAATTTTCAGAATAAGTAAAAATAAGTAAAATAAATCAAAAAAATAAGAAAAGAATAAAGTTAAAAGATGTGAAGAGAAACAATATTTATTTTTTTGGAATTTTCGACAGCATTTCCCTACCCTCCACGGGGTCAAGAATGTGCCAAGGGAAAAGAAAAGACCCAGGTGTGCACACTAGAAATGCCGCAAATAAATAAATAAAAAAGAAATTTCAGAAAATAGATAAAAAATAATAAATAAATATATAAGTAAATAAGTGTGTGAGGAGGTGGGGAGAAATGAGTTATCTGATTTTTTCAAAAATTTTGGCAGCATTTCGTTACCCCCATGGGGTCAAAGTGTGTCGAAAAGACTAAGTGAGAGAAAATCAGAAAATTTCGGCAGCACTTCGTTACCCCCACGGGGTCAAAACGTGTGTCGAAAGCAAGAAAGACTAACACCTAATCAGATTTAGGGTTGCCGACAAGAATTTTCAGAATAAGTAAAAATAAGTAAAATAAATCAAAAAAATAAGAAAAGAGGGTGGGGAAGAAGATGAGAAAACTAACAACTAATCAGATTTGGGGTTGCCGTAGAAAAAATCGAATTTTTCAGAATAAATAAAAAAATAAATTAAATAAATCAGAAAATGAGAAAAGAAGGTGGGAAAGAAGATATTTCGAATTTTTGAAAAAGAGAAAAGATAAATCAAAAGAGAGGTGGAAAGAAGAAAAACAGAGAAATTTTTGAAGTAGGGGGGAATGGGAATGAAAAGTGAGGGAGAAAAGAAAGAAATAGATGGGGAGAGAGAAAAAGATGAAGTGGGAGGTAGGGGGATGGGGTGGTCGTATTTGGGGGAGAGGAGGGATGAGGGGAGAGGAGGGATAGGGAAAGGTGGACAGGGATCAAGAAGCAAAGAGAAAAGAACGAGGAAGAAAAGAAAGAAATAAAACAAGGAGAGTAAAAGAATGGGTGTTGGGACAAAGGTGGGGAAGATAAAAGGAGGAGAAAAAAGATGCAGTGGAAGGTGGGGGAAAGAGAAGGGGTGAGTAAGAGGAGAGAGGAGGGGTAGGGAGAGTGGGTTAGTAGAGGGATGGGGGAGAACGGAGTGATACCTGGCCCTTGGTGTCTCCAAGGGCACAAGGTACACCAAGACCAGAAGGGTCTTGGGCTTTGCTGCAGCAGCCAGTTGGAGGAGAGAGGGGGCTGAGATCTTGATCGGCCCCCAGCAGCACTTCTGCAGATGTGTAGATGTAGGGTCTGCTGTGTGAGCAGGCCCTCTCCACTGTAGAGCAGCCCCCTAAGCAGGGGGGTCTTCAGCCACGTGGCCGTGGAGATGGCCACGTGCACAGGCAGCAGCAGCCACGGGGGGTGGGGGGGAGGTAAATAGCAACTTCGCTGCTGCGCACTGGTCTCTTATACACATCTAGATGTGTATAAGAGACAGGGCTAGCACGGGTGCTGTC